TAATTATAATAACTGGATTGTGTGGTTTTGAAATAGGCTTATTGACTTTAGAAAATCCAGCAAAGTGTCCCAGATCTTCCTTCTCCACCTGTGACAGGTAAAGCTAGCTTTGATTTCTTTCATCCAACCTTAGGTGTTCCTTTGGTGGTTTCTTGTGCCTTCAGCTACACTGCTTGGCTTGCACATGGAGGCCTGTGAAGGTTCAGTGTCCAAGGAAACTAGGAGAGGCTATTAGAGTTAGAGTTGGAGTTACAGGCTGGTGTGGATCTCCCTCTCCCGTCCACAAGGAAGCAGGGTGCTGGGATCACAACCATCACTCTCTGGGGGAACAGCAAATATGTTCTCACCTGGAGGACATCTTTCCAACCCCTTGAAGAAATTCTGTAAATGCCATGTAAACTTCATGCACTGACAGCCAACAGCTGGCCCATCTGTTGAGGTAATGAGACCCTGACATGCAAATTCACATGTAAATGAGCTGGGGCAATGACAGGAGTGTCACCTGGTTGACAGGAATGGGCTGCAATCAAATTTCTGACAAGTTAGAATGTCAAGGAAAGGCTATATTTTATAAGTAATAAAACTTTGTTCTTGTCTGAGAAATTTACAGACTTACAGAAGTGTGTGGGTAAGAACAAACAACACAAATATTTCAGATGAATTGTGTAATGGTTCAATTTAGCTTTAATTCCATTAATGCCTATATGGCTTTTGTGTGACTATTTTTAAGGTAGTTTTAAATGTAATAAATATTCATCAGGGACTTGGGATATTTCAGAGCCAAGTCATTAAAGACAGGCTTTTAATGGCCTAATGCTGTTTCCTGATAAGATGCTCTGTCTGCTTCAGTGTCCTTCCTCAGCAGGTGTCCCTGGCAGGTGATGGGATGCTATCCTGTGTGGAGACTCCAGGATGCTCCCCAGGTTGAGAGCCCTGAAGGCTCATGATCACCTTCCTGGGATGCTGTGTCTCCCAAAAGTTCCTGTGGAAAGTTGAATGTACGTCATAATTGAAGTCACACAAAATGCCCAGCAAATATCAGAAGCAGCAGAGAGATCAGCATCAAGGCCAAGAACACAAGCAGGTGTGTGGTACCTTAAAGCCATGATGGCGATCTGTGCATCAATAGTTGGGTGCTCTTTCTCTGCCCATATTTGCTTCAAGTTCACCAGCATCTTCCTGACACAGCACCATAAAGGATGCCAGCTCCCCCAACTCCAGGTTCAGGTATCCCCTGTTGTTTCTTTGATTGGGATGGGGGGGGTCTCATGACCTCAGGCAGCCTTCAGATTCATATAGCTGAGGCTGTGTTTGAACACCTAACATTCTGAATCCCCCTATGGAGTTCTGTGGTAGGCAGCACACCTCTATGCCCAGCTAGTTTGTGGCATTTACACACATGTAATCATGGCCCTCTAATCTCCCTGTTCTGCTTCTCCTGCTGCCCCTCCCCAAGTGGTTGCCTTTAAATCTTGAGACCACATATGAACAAACAGGTCTGCAGCCACACGTTCCTTCAATATAGTTGTCCCCTTCTCTGCTGGGAAAAAGATTCCTACCCTGAGTCTGTGTCTGAACTCTGCACAGCAGTAAACCCTGTCTGCACTCTGTGTGTTACTGTGTACACACTCCTATGAAAAGGTTGCTACATCAGCTGCTGTAAGATGACTAACAGTTGCATGCAGAATGCTGAGGACAGGTTAAAGTGATAGATGTGATTTATTCCCTCCCCCTCTGAACTGCCCTCTGTTGGTGGGAGATCAAAGGTGAGCTGAGCTGAGGGAGTGAGAGCCCAAGGCATTAGGACATCAAATCTGTACATATGACAGCTGAGTTGGCCACTGAGCACCTCAGGCTTCTGTATTATGAACCTTGTGGACAGTGGACAGAGGAGGCAAAGATCTCACACTAGGTGTGACAAAGTCTTCATCCCATGAAAAGAAAGATAAAATGTGTAAAAACATGTGTGACACTTATTTCTATGATGTTTGCCTTGTTACTTTCAGATCAGTTAACCCAAGTCAGTAAAATTGTGGAAGTCGAAATCCCCTGATAAGAGTCACAGGTCAGTGCAGTTTGTCTCTGCCCTGGGCCATCACTCCAATTCCTGGACTAGCTTTTAAAATAACATAAATTGAAAGTAGACTCATCCATTTAACCCTGGAATCTTCTCTAAAGTCGGCACCAGGATCCTCAGAGCCAGGGAAGGAGAAGGGCCATGGGCACAGCACAGGTGCAACAGGACCAGATCTGAGATGAGAGCCTGTGGATCTCTCCTCTGTGTGGATCCTGCAATCTAGGGTTGGCTGGGGAACGATGGGAAACATAGGGAGAACTCCACGGAGGGACCTGGAAGGAAGCAGGAGCTCAGGAGAGTTTAGTTCTTCTGTCTAGCCCACAGTATGCTGAGAGCAGGGCCCTTGTTGTGTCTATAGGGACAAGAATATGAAAAACACCTCCTACTGCTGTCATACTGGGGCATCAATGAGGACAGCAAAACAGGAAGCATTAAGAGGTATGAGAAGTTTTCAAAACACAAACACAATTAGAAGGTGTACAATCAGTGCAACTTACATTAAATACTGCAGAAGAAATAAAAGGATTTTTAACTTGACAATTAAAAGAGTCTTAACACATGTGCTACCACATGTTTGAAATCCAGATCCTGCCCTAACTTTATTTCTTACTAACATAATATCACAGAGAACTGCAGCTAATTTCCAGATATGTCTCTGAAAGTGTCTGGAACCAGACTTCCAAATGAAGACTGTTATTTCCAAAATTGAATTGATTTCTAGAGCAGTCCATGATGGAGTCTGAATAACTGGTCATATTTAATAACAATACAAGAGGTATTATAACTTCTCTTTTTGATTCTCTGTTCCACAAGGTCTAAAAACTTGGGGCAAGGCAGCTTGTTCCATCATGGTGATAGGTAAGCAATGGTGGGTCAGAAGCATATGTCCAATACAGCTTTATAGACACCATTGTCAGGGCACTCAGCAAGCTCACAGGTTGGCATCATTCTTTGCCCTGGCATCAGCATATCTCACCTGTCACTCTGGCAGCCACCATACTCCTTCAGTATCCTGCAGAAAAAACACAAACATGCCCTCTTCCCCATATTTAATACCTGATTGGGATCATGCCTTATGCCAGTAAGTGGATCCTTCCCTTTCACCTATACATAAGTATGCCTAGTTGTAGAGTGCCATAGACACTCAGCAGAAAGTTCCTTGGCATCCAAATTTTTTTAAAAAAATATTAAAATAAAAAATAAAAAGAATATGATTTAAAGAAATTTGTGGTGTACAGGGATATATCGTCCCCTTTTTTTATTTTATGAAGATATTGTTTTAAAGTTCCATGTGCCCGATCCAGTCTCCTGTCCTTGAGTTATAAGGAATCCCCATAGTATGGGTAATGTTAAATTGCTGCTAAAAAGTCTCAAATGTTCAATTGCCATAGCCAGTTCCATTATCTGTTTTTTGTTTGTTTGTTTTTCTTTTCTTTTTAAAAAATGATTGAGTACGTTATCTACATTTCAGATGTTATCCCCTTTCCACATCTCCCCCCCCCACAGAAACCCCTTAACCCATCCTCCCTCCTCCTATTTCTATGAGGGTGTGCACCCATCCATCTACCCACTCCCACCTCCCCACCCTCGAATTCCCCCTCCCTGGAGCATTCAGCCTTTAAGGGACCAAGGCCCTTCTCTCCCACTGATGCCCAACCAGTCCATCCTCCTCTACAAATACAGCTAGAGGCATGCCCTTTGTGTCCAGGAAATACTATTATTCCTGCTCATTGTGTTAAAGCTTTTCTTTAACAACATCAACATGTCGGCAGCCAAAGTACATGGCTTGAACCAACAGGTTGGCAAGCCAAGGATGGGTAAGATTCTGCAGTCTTACTAACCTAAGACAGAAGTTCATTGCTTTGGATAGTGCATATTCCATGATGTGTAAGGAAGGCATTCTTGTCAGAATGACCTAAGACAGGCTCAGTTATGTTAGTGAAATAAAAAAGGGCAAGAGGCAGAGAGTCTTTGGAGTTGCTTGGCAAGAATCTGACATGGGCCAAGGACAAGGAAATGGGCTGCTTGGCAGGAATATGACATTGGCCAAGGACAAGGAAGTGGGCTTCAGGCAGGAATCTGACATTAGGCTAGAACAAAGAAGTAATTTCTGGTAGAAATCTTAATCTTAGGCTAGAACAAAGAACTAATTTCAGGCAGGAATCTAAATATTAGGCTACAACAAAGAAGTAATTTCAGACAGAAATCTAAATTTTAGGCTAGAACAAGGAAGTAGGCTTTTAGACATGAAAATGACTTTGGGCTAGGACAGGGAGTAGGCTCAGCTACTTTGGTCATCTTGATAAGCCCTTAGAAACAGTGATCACGGTAGTGTTCATGTAATTGGGTTTAATGCCTTGCTTGTTCTTTGACTATTTGTGTTTATTGTCTCGATTGTTCCTTGACTAGACAATAGATTGCATCTATTGTATTTCTGGACCCTCAACCCAGAATGGACCTTAATATATACATGTAATTAAAATGGTATAAAAGCAAAAAGGGGGAAGGGGATGGGATAGGAAGTTCTAGGGAGGGGGAAAAGGGGAAATGGGTTGACATCTGTATTGTAAATAAATAAAATATCCAATTAAAAAAAAAAAGGAACGAAAATAGGCCTGATCCTCCATACAAACTAAATATACAAGACATAAACACAGAAGGCAAAGTAAAGAACTACAGACTAGAAAGCAGCCTAGGCTACTCATAATCCTGTGGACAGGATGAGGATCTGGTCATTCTGTGCCATGTGATCACAGACTCAGCATGTGCTTCACAGTGATGAAGAGAACAGAGCCTGGAGGTGACATAGCCAAGGGTGACCTCATGTTAGATAACAGTGACCTCATCTGGGCACATCCTCATTTACACTCAGCTCCCACAGCCTCATGCTGTCCCACCAGATACACACAGCATAGTGACACAATTCTGGGAGCTTCTCCATCTGCCATTTATTTCCTCCACACGCTCTAAGTATTCTCAATCCCTTATTTAACTGTCAATCAACCCTCAGGTCAAGAATGTGAACAATCCAGTTCATATTCAGATTCTTATTCTCAGTGTGGAAGTAGAAGCTGCAGCTCTGGAAGACTGTAGCTGACAGGATGGAGATTCCCCAAGACCAGAAAGGTTGGCTGTGGAAGGGAACACAGGCAGTGCAGGGACAGGGACTTGGTGTGCAGGGGCGGACTGGGCTCCACAGTTCTTCACATTGAGCCCACAGGCTGACAGGGAACATCAGACACTGTTGTCTAAAGAAAGCTGAGGGCTCTGGACATCACAGGAGAGACCTGAACACATCTGTTACTCAGTCCACTCCAGGCTGCTGTCTTCATGCTAGAGAATAGGAGTCATGAACAATCACTGTGAAGTCAACATTCCAACAACCCACCACTCACAGAGAATTCTGAGGTACCTGAAACCCAATCATGTCCATATTGCCCCTCCCCAGTCAGGACCCAGAGTGTCACCTTTACAATCTGGAAGAGACATATCAGAACTCTGGGAGCTGTCCCTGCCTAGGGTAAAACAAAACAAATATATATGTATATGATGTATATGTATGTATGTGTGTATGTATATATATATATTTTCAGAACACAGTAGAACTAAGGACACTAGAAGATTTCTCTGGAGGACTATTATGAAATCCCAGAGCACCCTAACATCCCTACCTTAACTCCAGTGACTCTGGAACAATCTCCACCCACCCCAACACTAGCTTGGAGCTGGAGCATAGTTCCCTCCTTTTCCATCTGTGAGAAGAAAAGCTGTGAGAGTTCAAGGAAGATCTTGACACTAGAAGTTCCCAGAACTGACAACAGACTCAGTTGGAGACAGTAGCAATGCAGGGTGTGGATGTGTTTCCCATTAATGAGCAGAGCACACTTCTGAAGGAGGCTGAGAGAAAACTCAGACCCTGCCCTTTCCTACCTGTGTTTCTCCTCCTCTTCATCACAAAAGCCACCACAGCTCCAATGATGGCCACAGCTCCAAGGACAACCAGTACAGCAATGATTGCCATGTTAGAGTCAGTGGATGGAGGAGGCTCTGGGAAGGACAGGTACAGGAAATGAAGGTGAGGGTCATGACCCCAGCTCTCAGCCCTGACCAGCTCAGGGTCTGCAGAAGGTTTCAGCTTTCCCTGACCCCAGCTCTGCACCCACACCCTCCTTACCCCATCTCAGGGTGAGGGGATGAGACAGTCCCTCATGCTCCACACGGCATATGTAATTCTGTTCCTTCCCAAGAGGCACCACCACAGATGCCCACTTCTGGAAGGTTCCATCCCCTGAAGGCCTGGTCTGCACAAGCTCCATGTCCTGGGTCAGGTCCTCCCCATTCAACTGCCAGGTCAGGTTGATGTCAGCAGGGTAGAAGCTTAGGGCCCAGCACCTCAGGGTGACATCGCCTTCTGTTCTGGGATGATGGGTCACTTGTGCCTTTGGGGGATCTGTGTGGAAGATTTAAGCAATGCCACAATTAACAAGACAAAAACTGAAACCTACATAAGACTCAGTTAAATCAATGATGACACTGAACTACATGTCTGTTTGAACACTTCAACGGTCATTGTACAAGTGGCCAGTAGGTAGAGCTGGTCCCCACAGCGCAGAACTGCCTATGTTCCTGGGGGACTCAGAAGCTAAGAGGGAATCCACATGAGCCAGTGGGTCAACATGGCCGTCCTTATGTAATGTTTTATAGTATGAGAAAAGTAGTCAAAGATGGAAGATAGAATGAAAAATAAGTAATTTAATACGTGTTTGAGTTCATATCTAGATTAGAAATTAGAGCCATATGCTACTGGTAGGTTGCCACCACTGAGGCTCAACCACTGTGGACATCTTGCTGACCAGCATAACTATCAGTCCTAGTGAACAGCCATCACAAAGTGGGCAGCAGAAATTTGGTGATCCCCTGAAACTCAGGCAGAGAAAGTGACTCCCAGTCCCTGCCTCTGAGGTGACAAGGTATAAGTATGTTGCACAAGATTTCAGGAGTGTGCAGTGGACCCCTGTGCACCTCTCCCTGGACCACAATGTGCTCACAGGGTGTATGCATTTTCCCTTTCACTCAGACCTGGATTGCAGAAGACCCTGTCTCTCAGAGAGTCCAATTCCTGATTCACTAGCGGGAACACTGTAACTTGTGGGGACAGAGTAATAGCAGGAGGTTTCTGGATGTTTAGTTCTGACAGGAAACAGTCTAAGTTCACAAGAATCTTTCCTTTAGAGGGAACCCTGAATTAACTTGTCTAACCATCCAGTCTGTGGAGACTGATGCAAATACTTATACAAGGGCATGGAGAAACAGTATCACTTGAGTGCAGACAAAAACTGACCAGAAGCAAAATAATGTCTTCAAAAAAAAAGTAAAGAAAAAAGAAAGTAAGAAATATGAAAAATTGAGTTGTCAAAGGGATGTAAACCCCACAGATATGGAGGGATCTGCGAGAATGTATTCTTTGGAAAGTTCTAGAAACTGACGGAAACAGCACAGTGTAGGGAGTCCATGTCTTCCATCAGGTTAAGGAGACTTCTGGTCCTGAGGTGTAAGGGCTGACACACTCAGAATGACAGGAATCAGTGTCCACAGACAGTAGGTATAGGCAGAGAACCTGGCCCCAGAGAGGCCATGGCTGATGTCAGGGAGCCACTATTATTATATCATGAAATTCTCTCCTTCTCTCCTGAGACAGACTAGTAACTGTCCAGGGAGAAGGATGAGCCCTGGGAGAGTCAGTGCAGTCACTGTGATGAGGATCAGGAGACCCAGGGACACTCTCTCCCCCCTGAGACAGGGGCATCCCCCCCAGCTGAGGGTTTCTTCTTCCCCAGGACTGAGCCCCAGCCCGAGGGCAGAGGGAGGAGCTGCCCGCGGCCCCTGCACCTGTGCGCAGCAGCGTCTCCTTCCCGCACTCCAGGTGTCTGCGGAGCCACTTCAGGCACTCGCCCTCCAGGTAGGCCCTGCGTTTCTCTGCTTCACCAGCCTGCTCCCACTTGCATCTGGTGATCTGCGCTGCCATGTCCGGAGCTGTCCACGTTTTCAGGTCTTCATTCAGGGCGATGTAATCGTGGCCATCGTAGGTGTACTGCCTGTATCCGCGGAGGAGGCTCCCCTCAGATCCCATGTCACAGCCGTACATCCGCTGGAACGTGTGAAAGCCTGCGGGACCCTACAGTCAGCCCCACCGCCCCGCCCCGCCCAGGAATCGGCCCCACCCACCCGCGGACTTCTCCAAACTGAGAAGGAAACCGGTCTTGGGTCAGTTCTTCTGAACCTCGGATTTGTGACCTGGGACCTCTCTAGAGCCCTTATCGGGACGTGGAGGGGTCCTTACATCCGACCCGGTGTCACTCACTGCCATCGCTCTGGTTGTAGTAGCCAAGCAGGGTCCTCAGGCTCACTCTGTAAATCTGCTTATTTCTCTTGGCGATCTGTGTGTTCCGCTCCCAATACTCCGGCCCCTCCTGCTCCACCCACGGCGCGCGTGGCTCGTATCTCGGGTTCTCTCCATCGCTGTCGAAGCGCACGAACTGCGTGTCATCCACGTAGCCGACGATAATGAACTGGGGCTCCCCGAGGCCGGACCGGGACACGGTGGTGTAGAAATACCGCAGAGAGTGTGAGCCTGGGGTCAGCTCGCGGTGAGACCCCGACCTCCTCCCGGGATCCCCTGCGGGTGCTCGGGCCGGGAGGGGAGCAGGGCACAGGGCTCCGGACGCGGATGGAGAAGGGGCGGAGGGTTTGATGGGCGACTCAGGGATGCGGCTTCCCCAGTGCCGCCCCCGCCCGTCCCCGCAGAGTCCGTTTCCCTCCCGACCCCGCACTCACCCGCGCGGGTCTGGGTAGGGGCCAGGGCGGCCGCCAGCAGCAGGAGCAGCGTGCGTGGCGCCATCGCCCCCATTTGTGATCCGGAGAGTTCCGAGAGCAGCTTGGACTTCATAACCAATCTCCGCAGTGACGCTGATTGATTCTCCAGGATCGCGCCACCCAATGGGGGTGAAACCTGCCAGTGTGTCATCAGTGTCCAGGCAGAAGGAGCTGATACAGTAGCAGCAGAAGTGAAACTGGGGAGATGGGGAGTCCCCAGCCCTGGGCTTCCCCACTCCTAACCTCAATGCCTGGAGACTAAGACTTTGCCTGAACCTTGTGCTGTGCACAGAGTGTTGTTTGTCATGGCATCTCCGATTCTGACCCAGAAGCTGTGTGGACACCAGGAGAGATGAGGGACTCTTAGGCTAGACTCTCTGTCCTCTTCTCCACCCTTCCTCTTCCTTCTTGTCTTCAGAAGTCAAGACCCTGGAGTCTTCTAGAAGAAAAGCCACTTCCGAGAATACAATGGCAACACAAGTGGTTGAGGATGCAGTGGAGAGATGCTTCTCCTTATAGCAGAGGGGCTAGCTTGCATCCCCACAAGGACTCCATAGAGAACAGTCTCTGTTTTCACCTGCAATGGGAGGCTCACACTCTAAAGCTTGAGTGCAGGACTCTCATTTGTAAAGAGGAGACTTTGCCTCTTCCCTTAGGATCTTTTTTCTCAGCCCTGCGCTTATTCACAGATTCCTTGTGTTACTTCCTTGATGAAAAGTCTGTACTTCCATGTCAGGTGTTTTTGTTTGGTTGGCTGTTTTTTTTTTTTTTAAAAATACAAAACAAAACTAAACAAACAAGGATCTTCATTCTGTGTCCTGAGATTGTCTGTGTGGACCTGGGTCATTGTCTCAGCACAATAGACCTCCTTGTCCACTGAAAAGTGACCCCTGTGGAAACCACAGAAAACAGGGCACTGGTCTCTGTCTACAGGGCACTTTCCTAGTGTCCCCACTCGAATGGTACAGTTGATTTAGTGACCCAATCACAGTAGGAGAGGAACTGTCACCGACTATAACACAGAATAGTGATGACAGTGTGGCAAAAGTTATGTAATCTGTGACCCTCTCACTCCCTCTCTGACCTTCACTCTCACTTATGAGCTGATGAGGTGAGGGACTTGAGTGTCACAGCTGTGTGGGACACTGGATCTGATAACTGAGTTGACCCCAGAGTTCCTCAGGCCTGTGCAGTGTGGACACTGGAAGAAAGACGATTCTCATGCCAGAGAGTATACACTGGTGATGTGAGTTTTCATCCCTGATCAATAGTGTGGGGAAAGATTAAATTTATACATTTTTTGATTCTGTGCATGACCACAGGTGTGAATTCGAGTCACCTCCCCATACAGGTCTCCACAACAGCCCAGCAGCCTCACCGTGATTTAGCATAACCTGTTTTCGTGAACAACCCATGTTAAGTGCTTTGAATATTTTCCATGGGAACTTGATGCTGTTAGATTTCATCCTGACCAACCTAAGGATGCTGTTGGGGATAGGCAGATCTGCAGAAAGGATCTGTCTTTGTTACTTTTCTTTTTTATTCTGGTTTTTTTTTTTTTTTTGATACAAGGTCTGTCTGCACAGCTCTGGCTGTCCTGGAACTTGCTATGTAGACCAAGCTGGCCTTGAACTCACAGAGATACATTTGCCTTTGCATCCGGAATGATGGGTGTCTTTGTTTTGGGTTTCATTGTTGTGAGGAAACACCATGAGCAAAGCAACACTTCTAAAGAGAAACATTTAATAGGGGCTGGTTTAGAATTTCAAGGACTTAGCAAATTATAACAAGAAGTATGCCAGTGTGCAGGTAGACATGGTTTTGTAGGAGTGGAGACTTCTGCATCTTGATCCAAAGCCAGCCAGGAAGAGGTTCTCATTTCACACTGAGAAGAGCATGAGCATAGAGACCTCAAAGCCTGCCTCACAGTGACACACATCCTCCAACACGGTCATGTCCACTCCCACAAGCTACACCTCCTCACAGTACCACTCCTTATGGACAAGTCTCAAACACATGATTCTATGGGGGCCACCTATTCAATCCACCACTCTGGGACTGAAGGCATGTGTCACCACACTAGCTTTAGTTAGTATTTTATTACTGTGATAAGACACTGTGACCAAGGCAATTTATAAAAGGAAATGTCTAATCTGTTCTGTAGTTTCAGGGGCTTTGAGTCCATGATGGCAGAGTAGAGTTGTGGGGAAGAACAGCAGAGAGCTCAAGATTTGCAAGCAAAAGGCTGAGACACTGGGAATAGTGAAAATCTGTTACAACCTCAGTGCCAACCCAGTGGCACAAATCCTCCAACAGGCCACACATCCCAATCCTTTCTGAGCAGTTCCTTCAGCTGGATGTGAAGTATTCATTCCTGTGAGCCTGTGTGGCTGTTCTCATTCAAACCAGCACACTGTTCACTATGAAATGTAAGATGCCAGCAGGGTTCTGGAGATGTGTCCGGTGCAGTCTGACAGAAATACCCTCAAACAGGAGACTCTGCTGAGTTAGCATCTCCCTCTTGCCTCTGCCTCCTCCTGCTCAGCCCCTCTTTGTCTCTGTCCCTCAGGCCTCATTCCATTGACACCATCTTTTCCTGTGCCTCTAGATTCTCTCATGGTGGTCAGCCAGCAGCATGCTGTGAATCAGCTGTGTGGTTTCCTTATGTAAACATTCCAATAGTGGCTGGAGAGATGGCTCAGCAGCTAAGAGCACTTGTTGCTGTTGCAGAGGATCCAGGGTGAGTTCCATCAGCTCATGGGGGCTGTCAACCATCTGTAACTTCAGTTCCAAGGGATCCAATGCTATTGCACCTACATACATATATATAAAAAACAAATACATCTAATAAAAACAAAAGTTTAAAAATATGACTTGAAACATACTCCCTCTCTTTCTCCTATACATCTAGAGTGTGAGGCCAGGGGCTGAGGGCGCAGGGTTCTTTAGACAACACAACAGCACCAGCCAATGAAGCCAGCTCTGGAGCAGGACAGGAACAATTGATTGAAATACACATTAATGAAAGAAAATTTGGAAAAAAGTAATAAAATATAAAACCCGGCATATTTCATTTTATGAACCTACTGTGCACAGTGGATCACAGCCTCACCCCAGGAAGAAGACACAGTGTGTGGTCATCTTTGCACTTGAGCCAATGGTAATTTTTGATTCCCAATGAAGAAGATAAATTCCACTCAGACTTTGAATGCTAATTTGTAACAGGCCATGACATCCTAATATCCGGAGTGTGTTTTCAGAGAAAGGTGTCCCCTTTCTCCATCTTCCCTGTCACTGCAGACCCTCTAGGATCTCACCTGTTGAAGAAGAAAGAGAAGCATCACATTCTTGCACAATAATGCCCCCTGGTGGAAGAAACAAAGAGGACAGATCCTGAGCCCACATTGCTGAGGGTAAAGGGGATCCAGGCTGGCTGAGCTGCCCCAGGGCCCCATTCCTGTCTGCACTTCTCCAGGGGTCTCAGGTCTCATGCTGCCCTGCTCTCATCAAACTTACAATCAGAAGAACTTTCCATGATTTTCCACCTGTGGGAAAAGCAGGAGGATGGTCAGATGAGACAGCCATGTTCAGGACCTCAGCACCTTTTCAGGACAGCCTGTCCTGGGTCACAGAATCACCAACAGCATTCCAAGAACTTATACATCATTTGCTTGTTAATGAAGATAATCCACAAGTTTATGACAAGATAGGATTGTATCCTGTATAAATGACAGACCTAAAGCATTTTCAGGAGGGAGTGATAGCTTATGAGATGCACTTATCCTGTGTGAAACAAGCTCTAAATAATTGGACTACTCAAAGTAGGATTAATTCCCAAGACTGAGGAGGATTGATGACAGCTGTACCAGAGGCTGGTCCTCAATTGCAATGGTTGCCATGGTGGAGCAAAGCCAGGAACTTGGAACAGCACAAAGGAGCGAGGGGAATTAGCATAGCACAGGTCCAGTTAATAAGTGCTATGTGCTGCTACACAAGAACAGGTTCAGTTTGAAGAAACATTCTTAGAACAACGTTGTTTAGCAGCTTTAAGAGCTAGGAACAAAGTTGGGGAACCTGAAAAGAAGCCCACGTCTCTTAGAAAAATTCTGCAAGTCTCAGGGGAAACCTTCACTGATTTTTTTTTTTTTTGCCAAGATTTGTTCTAACTATAAACAAAGCCATGTCAGACCCTGGTGCAAAACAACTGCTAATTGAGACTTTGGCGTTTGAAAATGCAAATATGGAATGCAGAATGTTGTCAGGCCATTAAAGTCTAGGGCAGCACCTATGGAACAGTGGATCACAGAGAAGTCCAATATTGTCTCTAGCCTGTATAATGCCACAATAATTGAGCAAGCCATATCTAAAGGTTTAGGTCTCAAAATCTGAGGCGTTTTAACTGAGGAAGATATAGTAAGAAGACTGTGAATAAGTTGGTAATGTTCTCAGATCTCAAAGTGCCCTGTGCTTTAACTGTGGAAAGTATAGTCACCTGAAACAAAATTTTGAACAAGTCATCTCTAAGGGCAATTGATTTTCTGAATGTAAACCAGCAAGAAGGCCTAGGCTTCTGGGGTGTGCAGGCAATGTGACAAGAGATGCCTCTAGTCCAATGAGGGTAGGTCCTAGAGAGATGTCCAAGGCAATTTCTTGCCAGCCAGAAATAAAATCAGGGACCTAGCTTGAGGCCCTAGAGCAGAAAGTACAAGCTGTTTGCCTCAGGTCAGCCAGAAAATTAAGGAACAGGAAGAAAAATCTCAACTAAGGAAAAATTGCCTTCATCCAACAAACATATAATAATGGTCAACCTGTAAAATGATATCAGTGGAATGTTTTTCCACAGGGAATGTTAAACTCTCCAACACTGTGTCAGTATTTAATGCCACAACTGGTAGAAATAATTTGTAGGCAGTTTCTTCATCCATTATTTACCCTTACATGAATGATAGTCTGATGGCTGATTCTGATGCAGATACTTTAGAAAAAAACTGTTTTGTGAAACCAAAAGAATTTTGCAATGTTCAGGTTTGCAGATTGCTTCTGGAAAAAAAATAGATGGAGGACATTCTATTCACTATCTACATTATTAAATAAGTCAACAAAATATTCAAGCCCAGAGGGAACAGATTGAAAGAAATCAGATGTGAAATCTCGATGAGTTTCAAAAATCAGTGAGAGATATCAATTGACTCTGGCCCACCATTGGATTAGCTGCTCAAGAGTTAAGTAATTTGTTTCAAATGTTACAAGGAGACTCAGACATAGACAGTCCAAGAAAGCTAACATAGGAAGCATAGAAAGAATTAGCCTTAATAGAAAAGAGACTGGAAGATTACATGTGAATAACATAGTTCCCAAACTCATCTGTGTTTTGGTTATTTTGCCTTTAACTCATTCTCCCATTGAGATCATTATGCAAAGAGATGTAGTATTTTAGAATGGATCATCTTAACACACAATCAAAGTAAAAAATTAAAGGTTTACATAGAAAATATTTCTGATTTAATTATAAAAGCAAGAATATGTCAATTGTCAGGAGTAGACCCAGCAGAAATTGCAGAGACTTATACTAATGCTGAGATTACTTCATTATGGGTATTCAGTGAAGACTGGCACAACTATTTGGGAGAAATTAACAAACATCCTAAAAGCAAACAACGTTACTTTATAAAAAGAACTAATTATATTGTCCCATGTATTGTAAAAGGAACACCAACTACTGAAGCACCTACAATATATACAGATGCAAAAACCTTAGGAATGGCTGCTTATAATCCAGGAGAAAAAAAAACAGCAAAGTAATTCAAATCCCATATGCTTCAGTTCAAAATCAGAGTTGTGTGCAATCCTTATGGTACTATCAGATTTTCCTGAATCTCTTAGTATAGCTTCTGAGTCTCAATATGAAGAAAGAGTAATTATGCCCATAGCAACTGCTGAGTTTATTCTGAGTAACTGAGAGTTAACTTTGTTATTTTGTAACTGCAACAGGCAATCAGAAATAAAAACTATCCATGATATGTCGCTCATATTCAGTCTCTTACATGATTGCCAGGTACTCTAGCACAAGGAAATGAAATCGATGAATTATTTACAGGAAATGTGTTAGAAGTCTCAGATATTCATGAAAAACACCCGGCAACAAGTCACAGAATTTATAAAAAAAAATACGACTTGTTTTTAGTATATTCAAACACCATTATATACTGGAAATAACTCTAAGGGCATCAAAAAATAAATAAAAAGAGAAATCTGGCATATAAATGTGTTTCAGTTTGCAAATTTTGGAAAACTAAAAGTTTATACACCATACTGTTGACACACACTCAGGATTTCAATGTGCAACTGCTTTGAGTTCTGGAAATATTAATTCTATGATTATACATTTACTAGAAGGATACTTGTACAAACTAGGACTGACAATGCTCCTGCATATGTGTCCAGTAAGAAGAAGAAATTCTCTGTATATTATAAAGCACATTCCAGCTTTACTACACAATGTTGAAGGTCAAGCAGTTACAGAGAAGATCTAATCACACCTTAAAGAACACACTTACACAGCAAAAAGGAAAAATAAAGACCCCAGGGGTGAGAACATTAACAAGAAAGGAACACAGCAGCTGAGAGACACTGGATCAAGGAAAAAAACTGGAATTATGTCATGCTATACACTATAAAGATGTGTTAACATCAGAATGGAAGTCAGAAAATGTATGGTGTTGGGAATGCTGATTTGTTTGTATTTCCACAGTACACAAGAGGTGTGGATACCATCAAAACTAAGAAAGCTCAGAGCTGACCAGGGAGGTCTTCTGAAAACATCAGCCACTGACCCAGAAAGAGCAAAGAGGAGAGCCTGACCAGCCACTGCCTTCCCCTGCCAGCCAGGAAATCCTGGGCAAGAAATGTTCAGTTCCTAACCACTGACAGGTCTACATTACAGAATATTATTGTACATAGAAGACCTAATTGTTAGCAAAATATAAAAGTCTAAATAGATATTGTATTTGGCAGATGCAGTTATATGTGTCCTGAAGAGATGTAGCTTCAGTGCCTCTAAATTCTCCATAGAGAATAATGCTAAAGAATGGAAAGATCCTGCCTGTTTTAAGGCAAAGTTCATGGGAGAGGTCTGGTGGTCTTTGCTCTATGACCTGAGACAAAGTCAGCAGGTGATCTTGGTCTACACTCTTGAAAAGGATGAAAGTGTTGGGCCTCTACAGGCTTGCCATGGACACCCACCCCCAAACATGACAGTGACAAGGCTCAGCCTGCCAAGAGTGTGGGAGAGGAGTTACAGACTTATTTTATAAGCCATTGGAACTTTGACAGAAACACCTCTCTCTCTCTCTCTCTCTCTCTCTTTCTCTCTCTCTCTCTCTCTCTCTCTCTCTCTCTCTCTCTCTCTCTCTCTCAACTTTGAAGAGGGCTTCCGAGAACAGAGAAGTACTGGCAGGACAGAGGTAAAACAAATCTAGGAAACAAAGTTCAGGATCCCTCTGGAGTTTGGAAGAGCTCAAGAGAAAGGTAGACTAGCTTGGTAGAATGACACACAGTGAAATTTCTAAAGAGCTGGCAGTTTAGTTGTAGAATCAGATTGTAAATAGGTAACACACATATACTTTAGAAAATAAAGTTTCCTCACTGAGGTAGCAAGTTGTAGCCTCAGTTTATGCCTTCCGTGTCTTTAGTGCTATAAATATTAGTTAATTTAAATGGTTACAGGCCTATGGGCAGGACTTTGGTCTTCTGCAATACAGAGCCATCCACAGTGGAGAGCAACAACAGGCTTTTGAAGAAGACTTTAAGACAGACTAGGTTAAATATTGCATTCATCATTCCCAAGTCAGGGCTGCAAGCACTAGGCCCACAGAGATGGAGGTGGAGATTAAGAAACTTGAGAGAGTTAACTCCAGTACACAAGGTGCTTCAGTAAAATATTCCAGGGTCAGGAATCGGTACCCAGGTTACAGGAGAGAGAAGCACCGCTGTTAGGTCTTATTTCAGCTGTGGATGTACTCCTGAGAGATGAACAGACAGATCACACCAGACACCTGAGAACCCTGGAAAACACAGTGGAAAGAGGGAAAAGCAGAAATCACAACAGTAGCTTGGCTACAGGGAGCGCCCAGGGCAGTTTCACTGCTACATCCTTGGTAGCTAAATCAATTGGGTTAGATGAAATGTAATGTGACTTATTTGTGCACCCTACAGTTTGAAAAGGATCACGAGTTGCATCTCTGATATTTAGCCCAGGGAGCTCATGATCCTGGGGACAGGACAAGGCTCAAACTTTCCCTGTGTCCTTGTGACCACAGACTCTCAGAATGTGCTTCATAGTGATGGAGAGAGAGCAGAGACTGGAGGTGACACAGCCCAGGAGTAACTCCTTCAGAGATAATAACACCCTGAGCCCATCTGGGCACAGTCCTGTTCAAACTCAGGTCCCACAACCTCATCCTGGCCCATCAGATACACACAGCTTAGTGACACAGATTCTGGAAGGATCTCCATCTGCCATTTATTTCTTAAAAAAAACTCTAAATATTCTCAATCCATTAACTTAACAAGCAATCAACCCCAAGGTCAAGATGTTAACAATCAAGTTCACATTCAGATTCTTATTCTCAGTGTGGAAATTAGGAGATACAACTCAGGGCAACATTGAGCTGACACAAAGCAGATGTTTCCCCCTCCCCCACCAGGCTGGACAAGAAAGGTTGGCTGTGGAAGGGAACACAGGCAGTGCAGGAACAGGGACTTGGTGTGCAGGGGTGGACTGGGCTCCACAGTTCTTCACATTGAGCCTATAGGATCACAGGAAACATCAGACACTGTTGTCTAAAGAGAAGTGAGGGCTCTGGACGTCACAGGAGAGACCTGAACACACTGTCTGTCACTCAGTCCAATGCAGGCTGCTGTCTTCATGCTACAGAATGAGAATCATGAACCTAGTGTGAAGTCAATATCTCAACAACCCATGACTCACAGAGGATTCCATATATATATATATATATATAGAGAGAGAGAGAGACAGAGAGAGAGACAGAGACAGAGACAGAGAGAGACAGAGAGAGAAAGAGAGAGAGACAGAGAGATTCATAGAAAGTGCTGACACAGATACAGATCCCCTGGACGATTACAATGGAGGAGCTATTATGGATTCCCAGAGCTCCCATCATCTCCAGCTTCACTCCAATGGCCTCAGGACAATCCTGTCCCCCACACTAACCTGGAGCTGGAGTGCAGACACCTCATTGTCTACCTGTGAGAAGAAAAGCTGTAAGAGTTCAAGGAAGATCTTGACACTAGGAAGCTTTCAGAACTGACAGCAGACCCAGTTGGAGACAACAGCAATGCTGGGTATGGATGTGTTTCCCATTAATGAGCAGAGCACACTTCTAAAGGAAGCTGAGAGAAAACTCAGACCCTGCCCTTTCCTACCTGTGTTTCTCTTCTTCATCATCACAAAAGCCACCACAGCTCCAATGATGGCCACAGTTCCAAGGAAAACCAGAACAGCAATGATTTTCATGTTAGAGTCGGTGGATGAAGGAGGCTCTGGGAAGGATAGGGTCAAGAAATAAAGGTGAGGGTCATGACCCCAGCTCTCAGCTCTGACCAGCTCAGGGTCTGCAGAAGGCTCCAGCTTTCCCTGATCCCAGCTGCGCACCCACACCCTCCTTACCCCATCTCAGGGTGAGGGGCTGAGAGAGCCCCTCATGGTACACATGGCATGTGTAATCCTGCTCCTTCCCAAGAGGCACCACCACAGATGCCCACTTCTGGAAGGTTCCATCCCCTGAAGGCCTGGTCTGCACAAGCTCCATGTCCTGGGTCAGCTCCTCCCCATTCAACTGCCAGGTCAGGGTGATGTCAGCAGGGTAGAAGCCCAGGGCCCAGCACCTCACGGTGACATCACCTTCAGATCTGGGGTGATGGTTCACATGTGCCTTTGGGGGATCTGTGTGGAAGATTCAAGAAATCCCACAATTAACAAGACAAACTGAAATCTACACAAGATACAGTTAAACACTTCAACTGTCATCCCACCAGTGACCAGGAGGTGGCGCTGGTCCCCTCAGCACAGAACTTCACATTTCCCCTGGGGGCTCAGAAGCTAAGAGGGAATCCACATGAGCCAGTGGGTCAACATGGCCGTCCTTATGTGATGTTCTACAGCATGAGACAGGTAGTCAAAGAATGACAGATAAAATGGAAAATAAGTAATTTATCATGTGTTTGTGTTCATATCTATATTAGAAATTAGGACCATATGCTCCTGGAAGGGTTCCGCCTCTGAGAGTCAACCACTGTTGTCGTCTGCCTTATCAGTATAACTGTCAGTCCAAGTGAACACCCATCACAAAGTGTGTAGCAGAAATGTGGTGAACGTCTGACACTCAGCCATAGAAAATGACTCCCAGCCCCTGCCTCTGGACCACAAGGTACAGGTGTGTTACACAGGATCCCTGGAGTGTGCTGTGGACCCCAGTGCAGCACTCACTGGAACACAGTGGGCTCACAGGGTGTGTGGATCTTCCCTCACTCCAGCCCTGGATTGCAGAAGACCCTGTCTCTCAGAAAGTCCCATTTCTTTTCACTAAGGGGAGCACTGTAACTTGTGGGGGCAGAGGAAGAGCAGGAGGCTTGTGGATGTTTAGTTCTGGCAAGAAACAGTCTAAGCTCACAAGAATCTCTCCTTTAATGAGAACCCTGAATTAACTTGTCTAATTACCCAGGCTAGCAGTCTCCCCTGGCACCTGTGGAGACTGATACAAACGATAATACAAGGGCATGGAGAATCAGGATCACTCCAGTGCAGACAAAAACTGACTAGAAGCAAAATAATGCCTTCAAAAAAAAAGTAAAGAAAAAAGAAAGAAACAAAGAATGAACAGGAAAAACAAAAGAGAAAAAAAAAAACAAAAAGAAATCCCACAACTTAGTATTCAATCAGGGTACCCCATAAGGGCTCATGTGACCTTCACCACTGTAGGAATACATAGAATTGGGTTGTTGAAAGGTCGCAAACCCCACAGACAGGGAGGGATCTGCGAGAATGTATTCTTTGGAAAGGTCTACAAACTCAGGAACCAGCCTAGTGTAGGGAAGTCCATGTCTCCCATCAAGTAAAGGAGACTTCCGGTCCTGAGGTGAAAGGGCTGACACACTCAGCATGACAGGAGTCAGTGTCCACAGTCAATGTGTGTGGGCAGAGAACCAGGCCTGGGAGAGGCCATGGCTGACAGCAGGGAGTCCCTGCTGTTCTGTCAGGAAATTGTCTCCTTCCCTCCTGAGACAGACTGGGAACTGTCCAGGGAGAAGGCTGATCCTGGGAGAGTCAGTGCAGTCACTGTGATGAGGATCAGGAGACCCAGGGACACTCCCCTCTGAGACAGGGGCATCACCCCAGCTGAGGGTTTCTTCTTCCCCAGGACTGAGCCCCAGCCCGAGGGCAGAGGGAGGAGCTGCCCGCGGCCCTGCACCTGTGCGCAGCAGCGTCTCCTTCCCGAGCTCCAGGTATCTGCGGAGCCACTCCACGCACTCGCCCTCCAGGTAGGCCCTGCGGCTCTCTGCATAACCAGCCTGCTCCAACTTGCGTTGGGTGATCTGCGCCGCCATGTCCGCCGCCGTCCACGTTTTCAGGTCTTCGTTCAGGGCGATGAAATCGCGGCCGTCGTAGGCGAACTGTGTGTACCCGCGGAGGAGGCTCCCGTCCGACCCCACGTCACAGCCGGACATCAGCTGGAGCGTGTGAGAGCCTGCGGGACCCCGTGGTCAGCCCCGCCCACCCGCCCCGGCCCCGCCCACCCGCGGACTTCTCCAAACTGAAAGGGAAACCGGTCCCGGGTCGGTTCTGCTCCCGAACCTCGGACTTGGGACCCGTGACGTCTCCGGCCCCTGTGTCGGGACGTGGAGGGGTCGTGACCTCCGACCCGGGGTCACTCACCGCCCTCGCTCTGGTTGTAGTAGCCGCGCACGTTCCTCAGACTCACTCGGAAAGTCTGCTCGTTGCTCTTGGCTCTCTGTGTGATCCGCTCCCAATACTCCGGCCCCTCCTGCTCCATCCACGGCACGCGCGGCTCATATCTCGGATTCTCCGCGTCGCTGTCGAAGCACACGAACTGCGTGTCGTCCACGTAGCCGACAGAGATGAACCGGGGCTCCCCAAGGCCGGGCCGGGACACGGCGGTCTCGAAAAACCGCATCGAGTGTGAGCCTGGGGGCGGCGCGCGGTGAGACCCCGACCTCCTCCCGGGACCCCGGGCGGGTGCGCGGGCCGGGAGGGGAGCAGGGCGCGGGGTCGGGACGCGGGTGGAGAAGGGGCGGAGGGTCCGGTGGGCGACGCGGGGACGCGGCTTCCCCGGTGCCGCCCCCGCCCCTCCCAGCAGAGCCCGTTTCCATCCCGACCCCGCACTCACCCGCGCGGGTCTGGGTCGGGGCCAGGGCGGCCGCCAGCAGCAGGAGCAGTGTGCGCGGTACCATCGCCCCCATCTGGGATCTGGGGCGTCTGAGTCCCGCGGGCTGCGTGGACTTTATAAGCAGTTGCCCGCTGAGATGCTGCTTGGGTTCCCGGGATCGTCCCACCCAATGGGGATGAGTCCTGCCCGTGCACCATCAGTGTCCGGGCAGAAGGACCTGACACAGGTTAGGAGCAGAAGTGAAACTGGGGAGATGGGGAATCCCCAGCCCTGGGCGTCCCCACCCCTGACCTCACCGCCTGGAGACTAAGACTTTGTCTGAACCCTGTGCTGTGGACAGAGCGCTGTTTGCCATGGTGTCTCGGAGTTCTGACCCAGAAGTTGTCTGGACACCAGGAGAGACCCTCAGGCCAGACACTCTGTCCTCTCCTCTACCCTTTCTCTTCCTTCTTCTCTTCAGAAGTCAGACCCTGGAGTCTTCTTGAAGAAAAGCCACTTCCGGGAATACAATGGGGACACAAGCAGTTGAGGATGCAGTGGAGAGATGCTTCTCCTTAAAGCAGAAGCGCTGGCCTGCAAGCCCCACAGGGACCCCACAGAGACCAGGCTCTGTGTTCACCTGCAGTGGACGGCTCACACTGACAAGCCTGAGTGCAGGACTCTCATCAGTAAGGAGACTTTCTCTCTTCCCTCAGGATCTGTCTTCTCAGCCCTGTCCTTAGACACACAGATTCCTTGTGTTACTTCCTAGATGAAGAGTCTGTGTCTCCAGCTCGATATTTTTTTTTGTTTGTGTGTCATTAACAGGGATCTTCATTCTGAGTCCTGAGTCTGTTCTTGTGGACCTGGGTCATCATCTCAACACAATAGACCCCACTGTCCACTGAAGAGAGACCCCTTTGGAGACCACAGACAAAAGGGCAGTGATCCCTGTCTACGTGGCATTTTTTTGTGTGTTCCCACTTGCGTGGTACTTCTAAAGAGAAACATTTAATACAGTTTCAGGAATTAGTCCATTATAACAGGACGCATGCCAGTGTGCAGACAGAGACTTCTACATCTTGATCCAAAGGCAGCCAGGAAGAGGCTCTCATTCCACACTGGGCAGAGCATGAGCATAGAGACCTCACAGCCCACCCCCACAGTGACAGACATCCTCCAACAAGGCCATGCCTACTCCCACAAGGCCACACCTCCTAATAGTGCCACTCCTTGTGGGCCAAGCTTCAAGCACGTGAGTCTATGGGGCTACCTATTCAAACCACCACACTGAGATTGAAGGCATGTGTCACCACACTAGCTTTAGTTTTTAATGGCTGTGATAAGACACTGTGAACTAGGCAACTTATAAAAGAACGTGTTTAGCCTGATCTGTAGTTTCAGAGGATTTGAGTCCATGATGGCAGAGAAGAGGCATGGTGGAGGAACAGCTGAGAGCTCAGGACTTGATTTGCAAGCAGAAGGTTGAGACTGAGAATAGTTGAAGTCTGTTAAGACCTCAGTGCCTAGCTGGGCCGTGGAGGCACATGCCTTTAATCCCAGCACTTGGGAGGCAGAGGCAGGCGGATTTCTGAGTTCAAGGCTAGCCTGGTCTACAGAGTGAGTTCCAGGGCAACCAGGGCTATACAAAGAAACCATGTCTCTAAAAACCAAACCAAACCAAAGCAAACCAAACCAAACCAAACAAAACAAAACCATCCAACCAAACAACCAACCAACCAAACAAAAAAACCTCAGTGAACAACCTGGTGGCACATATCCTCCAACAAGGCCACACAGCAGGCTGTGAGTAAGCTGTGGTTTCCTTATGTAAACATTCCAACAGTGGCTGGAGAGATGGCTCAGCAGCTAAGAGCACTTGTTGCTGTTGCAGAGGATCCAGGGTGAGTTCCATCAGCACATGGGGGCTGTCAATCATCTGTGACTTTTGTTTGTTGTGTACCTATACTCGTATAAAAATACATCTAATAAAAATCTAATTTAAAAAATATGATTTGAAAAATACTCCTTCTCTTTCTCCTACACATCTAGAGTGTGAGGCCAGGGGCTGAGGGCACAGGGCTCTGTAGACAACACTACACTATCAACCAATGAAGCCACATTGTAGCAAGACAGGAATAGATGATTAAAATAGACTGTACTGAAAGACAATTTGCAAAAAAAGAAAATAATAAACTTAAAAATACAAAGTATATTTCATTTCATGGACCTACTGTGCACAGTGGATCACAGCCTCATCCCAGGAAGAAGACACACTGTGTGCTCATTCTTTGCACTTGAGCCAATGTCAGTTTATGATTCCAGATGAACAAGATAAATTCCACTCAGACCTTTGAATGCCAATTCATAACAGACCGTGACATCCCAACATCCAGAGTGTTCCTGCAGAGAAAGGTGTCCCCTTTCCCCATCTTCCCTCCCACTGCAGACCCTCCAGGGTCTCACCTGTTGAAGATGAAAGAGAAGCATCACGTTCCTGGGCAACAGCGCCCCCTGGTGGAAGAAACACAGAGGACTCAGCCTGAACCCACAGAGCTGAGGGTAAAGGGGATCCAGGCTGGCTGAGCTGCTCCAGGGCCTCCTTCCTGTCTGCACTTCTCCAGGGGTCTCAGGTCTCATGCTGCCCTGCTCTCATCAAACTTACATCCAGAAGAACTTTCCAAGCTTTTGCAGCCGTGGGAAAGCCTACATGAAGACATGGAAGAAGGATCTTCAATGCCCGTCATCCTCTTTGAAGTGGAATGGGAGTTTTCTTAGGGCATTACTGCTGTGAGCAGACACCATAACCCAGGCAAGTCTTATAACTGACAACATTTAAGTGGGGCTGGATTATAGATTCAGAGGTTCAGTCCATTATCATAAAGGCAGGAGCATGGCAGCATGCAGGCAGGCATGGTGTAGGCAGAGCCTAGAGTTCTACATCTTCATCTGAAGGCTGCTAGCAGAATACTGACATCCAGGCAACTAGAATGAGGGTCTTATAGGCCATACTCACAGTCACACACCTACTCTAACAGGACCACACCTTCTAATAGTGCCTCTCCCTGGGCTGAGCATAGGGAAACCATCACATTCCTTGGCCCCCATAGGCTTGTTCAAACATGAGTCTATGGGGGCCATACCTAAACACACCATAAAGCAAAATACAGTCTAACTTGAAAAATCCCTGTATTCTATAGCAGTCTCAACAGTGTTAAAAGTCCAAAGTTCAAGGTCTCTTCTGCGATCCATCCAATCACTTAATTGTAATTCCCGAAGCAAGGCAGGAAACCATCTGGGCAAACCCCAAACTCTGCATCTCTATGTCTGATGTCAAAGTGCTCTTCAGATCTCCAACTCCTTTTTGTCATCTTTGTTGACTGCAACAAATTTCTTTCACCTGGGCTGGTTCCATTCCCTATTAGCAGCTTTTCTCAGCAGATAGACCACGACTCTAGCATCTTGAACATCTTGGGGTCTACAAGGCAACTTCACTGTTATAGCTTTTTATTTCTTTCTTTTTTTTTAGATTTTATTATTTCTTTTTTGGTGTGGTCTGTTCTTTTTATTTATTTTTTTATTGTTTTTCACATCGTAATTTTTAATTATTCACACAGGGGTTATAAACACAGAAAGGCATGGGGAAGGGGATGACACTGGAGCGTGAGTGTTCAGGGGGAATACAGATATTTTTCAGAACAGGGTATCGGCTGGGTGAAGGTTCAGGGGACAGGTCACTATGACTCTGCCTATGATTCACTTGTCCTTATCTAAGTTGCTGTTGTCTGCCAAGGCTACCTATTTACAAGGTCTATGACTACTCAGGCTGGTAAATTTCCACAAAAGCTGCCTGTTTACAATAGCTTATAGCCATCTGTTTCAATGTTTTTCCACAGGGACCCAAGACTTGGTGTTAGTATACATGTATGACAGGCCTATTGCTGATATTAGGCCTATGGCTGATTTTAGGCCTTCAGTGTATAAGCAGGGCTGCCCCTGACATCTCCCCCCTTCTCTAAGTATAGAAGGGCTGTGGTGATTCTAATCTTTTGAAGGCGGGGATAGAGGCCTGACCTCCAGTAATTGAAGGGGACCTTGTAATGGCTCCGGTCCCCCTGTCATTGTCCAGTGAGGCATGAGGGCCATACCCATCCTGATGTCTTTTCCTGGAGAAAGGATACTTTTGACATCAACCCCTATGCAGTCAGGCTTGTCCCTCAGGGAACCCAGAGAGATATTTTTAACTTTTATTTATATTCCCTTGCAGTGCTTAGCCTCAGAGCCTAAGCAAGAATTCAGAACGCCAGTCAGAGGGCGTTCTGAGTGGCCCCTCTCTGCTTGGTCTAGGGGTGGAAGTCCCCTCTTTTAGGTTGGGTGGAGATGGGTTTTGGGAACACCCTGGATAGAGTAACAACCTCATCTTGAGTCATTTTATAATGCAATGCAAACTTCTTCTTGAAAGACACTATTGCAAATAGTTGAAGATAATTAAGAAATGCAAGTGGGTAGTCAGTCAACCAAGTTTATGGACATGTTAGGTCACAGTTATGTTAATTACAAGACTAAGCTTTCTTTGGCCTCCTGTAGTTGTTTCCAAAGTTTAACAGATAGTAGATAGCTAGAAACAAGAGACATTTGCCTATTCTGATATACTATGCATAGATAGGCAGTCTTCGGAAATCTCAGACATCTACAGGATATGGCGTTTAAAAATATTTTATTAACATGAGTCTTTCCACAACAGTGAGACAGGACTGCACCTGGCAGCATCCCTGTGAAGGTTTCCCTATGCTCACCCAGGGAGTGGCACTATTAGAAGGTGTGGCCCTGTTGGAGTAGGTGTGTCACTCTGAGTGTGGGCTATGAGACCCTCATCCTAGCTGCCTGGAAGTATTCTGCTAGCAGCCTTCAGATGGAGATATAGAACTCTCAGTTCTGTCTGCACCATGCCTGCCTGGATGCCACCATGTTCCCTCCTTAATGGACTGAACCTCTGAACCTGTAAGCCAGATCCGATTAAATGTTGTCATTTATAATATTTGCCTTGGTGATGGTGTCTGTTCAGAGCAGTAAAACCCTAACTAAGACAGAAGTTGGTACCAGTGATTGGGGGTACCGCTGTGATAGGGCTGATCATCTTTTTTTTTTTTTTTTTTTTTTTTTTTAAGAATGTGGATTTGGGGACTTCCACCAGAGAACTCCTAAACCTGATAAACAACTTCAGCAAAGTGGCTGGTTATAAAATCAACTCAAACAAATCAGTAGCCTTCCTCTACATGAAAGATAAACAGACTGAAAAAGAAATTAGGGAAATGACACCCTTCACAATAGTTGCAAATAATATAAAATACCTTGGTGTGAATCTAACCAAGCAAGTGAAAGACCTGTATGACAAGAACTTCAAGTCTCTGAAGAAAGAAATTGAAGAAGATCTCAGAAGATGGAAAGATCTCCCATGCTCATGGATTGGCAGGATTAATATAATAAAAATGGCCATCTTGCCAAAAGCAATCTACAGATTCAATGCAATCCCCATTAAAATCCCAACTCAATTCTTCACAGAGTTAGAAAAGGAAATTCTCAAATTCATATGGAATAACAAAAAACCCAGGATAGCGAAAACTATTCTCAACAATAAAAGAACTTCTGGAGGAATTACCATCCCTGACCTCAAGCTGTACTACAGAGCAATAGTGATAAAAACTACCTGGTATTGGTACAGAGACAGGCAGGAAGATCAATGGAATAGAATTGAAGACCCAGAAATGAACCCACACTCCTATGGTCACTTGATCTTTGACAAAGGAGCTAAAACTGTCCAGTGGAAAAAGGACAGCATTTTCAACAAATGGTGCTGGTTCAACTGGAAGACAACATGTAGAAGAATGAAAATTGATCCATTCTTATCTCCTTGTACAAAGCTCAAGTCTATGTGGATAAAGGACCTCCACATAAAACCAGATACACTGAAACTAATAGAAGAGAAGGTGGGGAAAAGCCTCGAATACTTGGGCACAGGGGAAAAGTTCCTGAACAGAACTCCAATGGCATATGCTCTAAGATCGAGAATTGACAAATGGGACTTCATAAAATTGCAAAGTTTCTGTAAGGCAAAGGACACTGTCAATAGGACAAAACGACAACCAACAAATTGGGAAAAGATCTTTACCAATCCTTCATCTGATAGAGGGCTAATATCCAATATATACAAAGAACTCAAGAAATTAGACTCCAGACAACCAAATTACCCTATTAAAAAATGGGGTATAGAGCTTAACAAAGAATTTTCAACGGAAGAAACTCGAATGGCCGAGAAGCATCTAAAGAAATGTTCAGCATCCTTAGTCGTCAGGGAAATGCAAATCAAAACAACCCTGAGATTCCATCTCACACCAGTCAGAATGGCTAAGATTAAAAACTCAGGTGATAGTAGATGCTGGCGAGGGTGTGGAGAAAGAGGAACACTCCTCCATTGTTGGTGGGACTGCAAGATGGTGCAACCACTTTGGAAATCAGTCTGGCGGTTCCTCAGAAAATTGGACATAGCATTACCCGAGGATCCAGCTATACCACTCCTAGGCATATACCCAGAAGATGCTCGAACATATAACAAGGACATATGCTCAACTATGTTCATAGCAGCCTTATTTATAATAGCCAGGAGCTGGAAAGAACCCAGATGTCCTTCAACTGAGGAATGGATTCAAAAAATGTGGTATATTTACACAATGGAGTATTACTCAGCTATTAAAAACAATGAATTCGAGAGGTTCCTAGGTAAATGGATGGAACTAGAAATTATCATCCTGAGTGAGGTAAGCCAATCACAAAAGAAGACACATGGTATTCACTCACTGATTATTGGATATTAGCCTAGAACCTTGAAATGCCCAAGATGCAACTCACAGGCCACATGAAGCCCATAAAGAAGGAAGACCAAGTGAGGGTGATTCGGTCCTTCTTAGAAGGAGCAACAAAATACTCAAGGGAGCAAATATGGAGACAAAGTGAGGGACAGAAACTGAAGGAGGGGCCGTCTCAAGACCACCCCACCTGAGTATCTATCCCATGTGCAATCACCAAAGGTAGATGCTGATGTGGAAGACAGGAAGTGCATGCTGATAAGAGCCTGATATGGATATCTCCTCAGAGGCCTTCAAGAGTCAGACATATTCAGAGGCAGATGCTCACAACTAGCCATTGAACTGATCATGGGGTTCTCAAT